GGCCTTAGTGGTTATCCATTGCGACCCCCTCAACTCACCTGGACCCCCTTCCCCTGAGCCCTCTGGAGAGGGTACAGGAAAAAAAACCAGTCTTGGGCAGGTTGAGGGGATTCTTCTGGTGAGTCCCCAGCCCACCCTGAGTAACACAACCAGATAACAGTTTACACACGTGTGCTCACACTTTCACATACACACACACACACACATACACACATATGGGCTGAGCTCTCTTCTAAGGGAGGATATTGGGTCAGGTCACAGTATGAGGTCCCCTCTCTTTTAAGTATCCCAGTGGTGGTAACACAGTACCCAAGTCTTCCCCAACCCACTGCACCACCTCTGTATCCTGCCTACCTACCTAGTCAAATGCACTGGATTACTATATCAAATATACCTATGAGAGAGGAAAAGGATAGACTCAGGTCCCTGAAAAGCAGAGAAGTTGTACACTGCCTACTCAGGAAGTTCATTGTAAGACTCATGTATTCATAAAAGGCCTAGGCCAACCTAGTAGCACAAAACAGACAGGGGTTCCAGCAGAATACACAGAAGAGTCAGTAGGATGGCATGAAATCTGAAGTTAAGAGATGGAGATGGCAGCTTTCTCAGATAGGTCCCTGGGGGTGCGAGATGCAGATGTGGTGGGGATAGTGGAGTAATATAAAATATCCCAGAGGTCACTTGTGGGGAAGGAACTCTGAAGAATTTTGGTGAGGGATTTAGCTGGGTGTACAGAAAGTCAAGGCTCAGAAAGAAGACCTACCTTCTGAGGAATTACAGGGAACTGAGAAGCAGGAGGGGAAAGACATGACTTAAGAGCCTCCACATCTCCTAGGTATGGTATGAGGCTCAGTTCTAGAACTATTCATTCCATGCTTGAAGAAACTGAGGCAGAGACTTGTTCTGTAGTGACAGCCTAACCCACATTGCTAAAGCTTGACTATACCTCAAATTGTCAATAAAAATTTATCCCAGCTATTTGCTTCATGTACCAAAATGAGAAATTTCATGTTTCACTGTGAATCACTAGTATTCACACACTAATTCCTACAGAAGAGAATTCCAACAACCAACAAAGTTATCCTAAATTAGGAGAGGCGAAGAATGATGTTTCAGTCTACCTCAAGGCTGGGGAGATAATTCAAAAGACTGGAGTATGTGTATGCAGGAGGCCTAGGTTTGATCCTTGGCACTGCATAGTTCCCCAAGCAGAGCCATGAGTGACTTCTGAGCAACTTGCTGGCAGTAGCCCTGCTCTCCACTGCACTCCCTCACCCCCTTAAAAAAAGCACAACTCAAAGGGAAAGTAGTGGTAAAGACTCCAGATAATCTGAAGGAAGGAATAGAACTGATACAGGCTGGTTCATTTACTTTCTTAAATGGTTAGTCTGTTTAATTTTTATTCACAAAGACAGTAAGAAAGTCAAGAGTCACTACAAATAGTAATCCTAAATTAATAAGTAGTAGTATACTCCCTAGACTGAGAATTTAGACAAAACCAGATGAATAGGGCTCTAGAGTCCTTGAGAATGTTCTGTGGAAGACAAGAGTGAGAGAAATGCTTAGGCCTAGTTTTCTGTTCTCTGTTATATCACCATCCTTTCCTCATTCAGGCCTTGATGACAGGTGAAGTCACCACCACGAGCTTTTGATCAAAGAAGATGTAAGACTCTGAGACATTTCCTGATTCCCTTGTACACTGCTCATGTATACTTGCCTACCAGCACATAAAAAGAGACAGAAGAAAAGTGTTTTCAGATACATTAAAAGCAAAAATAAAAACCATGGTAGCATTCTACAATTTCCCATGAGCCTATCCCCACCACCTGAACAATATAAACTGCACATATCAAAGAAAGTCTTCTTAGATGGGACAGCCTCTCCAACCAAGGCCTTTCCCTAGCTAAAGCAAGACATAGTCTCAGGAACCATAGATAGAGAGCAGGGATGTGCTGCCTTTCAGTCACTATTCCTTGTTGGGACAGTTTCTGGATAATCACAGCCCATTGCTGTGACTTCCTAGACGTGAACACAGAAACACCCCCTTCCCCCGACAAAAGATATGTACACGTATGGGCACGCATGTGCGCACACACACTCACACTCACTGCTTTGGGATCCCAATATTCAGGCCTCTAATTGTGAGCTGGATCTACAAATCAGAGATCCAGGCTAGCTCACTCCTACAATCCTCAACCTAAGAACCCACTCCAACTAAGTCCCTTCACCATTCATCCTTGGGATGCATCTGAAAGAGAAAGCACTGGCTGGAATTGCTAGTTTTAAATTATTAAAAATAATTTGCATAGCTAACTTGTAGGTCTAAGGCTTCTATGAGTAGGAGAATTGGGTGTCTGATAGGGTGCTTATGGAAAAAGTGAAAGCTCAAGTTCCAGTTTTGGAGTAACTGCAACACATAAACACACATGCATACATACCCATTAGTCATATCTCCTTCTCTCTTCTCTGGGGACAAAACCCCAGAGTGTGCTAAGGCCCTACAACAATGAAAAGGGGGTGGTCAGAAGAGTTGTAGAAGCAGCTAGTAATAATGGTGATCTGGCTAGGCTGCCTCCAAGGCTGGGGACACGGGTGCAGCAGATGCCCAGTGAGAAACCCTTGGTAAGTGACAAAGCTCAAAAGTCAGAAAGTTTATTACCATAAACCACCATTTAGCAAAATCCTATCAGGGAATGAAAAGACGAAGACAACTAAAAATCATGCTTGCTTAAAGACCAGATGCCTCCGTCCTCTCCTGGCACTGAAACTAGCTGGAATGGAGAGATCCAGAATGACTGTGGTGTTCTTTTTAGACAACAGACAAAAGCCAGGCTTAAGGCTCTCCCGGAGGAAGGGCTTTTCCATATTCCTTCAAAAAGGATAGAAAGAGTGGACACCTGGTGCAGACTGATCAGTTGATAGGCTGTGGAAGGCATTTCCCAACAGGAAATGTGGGCCTAAGTCAATAGTCTGTTCCCTCAACCCAGCAGTCACCAATTCACAACTTCACTATTCAGCAGAGAAGAGTCTGCTTCTAAGGTCATCCCAGGAGGACCCAGCTCCAAATTCTGGGTCACTTCCTTCCTAACAGCAAACTCCAGGATTCCAAGTTTTAATCTTTGTAGAATGAGTTTCTCACTCACCGACTTTTCAGTCACTGGATTCCCTTACCTTCCTGAGAGGACATCTCCTTAAAACAGCGATCTAGTGAAAAGCCTGGTCAAGCCTCTTTCTTGGTCAATTCACTATCTATCCAGGGTTATTTTCACCAGCAGCGAGGGAGTCAGACATTTTAAAATTTCCTTTCCTATCTCCTACTCTCCTTACCCCTAACTTCCCCTCCCACCCCTGCCCCACCCCCACCAAATAAGACACATGTAAAGTCCAAATAATAAATAATTGTCCACAAGAAATAAATTAACATGGAGCTCTCTAGTAGGAAGGAAAGACCACCAGGACAGGCAGCTGGGGACTCAGTTCTGTCCTTGTGAAGAATGTCTTTTCTGGCCACAATTCCATGACCTCTCACACATCTCACTGCTTCTCCCTACCACACTTCTCTAGGCAACCTCACACCCTGGACTGAGAATGAGAAATCTGCCCAGAGACAGTTACTTGGGGAAGAGGCAGAGATGGGTATAGCCCATTTTCTCTCATAATTTCTCTCCAAACCTAAAACAAACAAGGTTCTAAAAACCTGGGACTATAGTTAGCTGGGTATTCTCTTCACCCAACTAGAAGGAAACTTGTGATTTCCATGGCTCTTCTCCTGGGCTCAACCTGATGTTCATATTAATAGTTGCCATGAACCACCACACTCTGATTTCCATTTTTAAAAACATAAATTCATTTTCAGTTTCCCCCTTAGTCCCTCCCTCCCCCCTTCCCTCCCACCTTCACCCTAGCTCTGTCACATACATGTATGTACATAAACACACACACACGCACACATGCACACACATACCTGGTCTGCTTTTTTTCACCCCTTAAAAGATTCCACTCCACGTGGAGTCTTAATCTGTTTTTCCTGCCCACCATCTTTCACCCTCCCTCCCCACCCTCCCCTCCAGGTCAAGCTAAGTCACCCAGTAAGGCAGCTCTTGGGAGAGAAATATTCCCAATGACAGAAGTGGGATGTGAGCTTCTACACTCCGATGGGCAAGCAAGCAAGCAGACAGCATAAGCAAGGCAGGCAGGAAGAGAGGTAGGCTGCCCTGTCCCTCCATTCCTGTTTTGGGTCCCTGATATTTCACTATTGCTGCTCTGTTGGATATTTTTGCCTCTCTTGTTAAACAGCAAGCAACAGAGCCTTGCCACTATGGTCAACCATCTTTCTTTGTCCTCTTCCTTTCCCTCCTGCCAAGTGTCCTTTTCTCAGAAAGCCCAGAACACTGCCTTCCAGCTTAATAGGCAACCTGCTGGGAGCCCCAGAGTGAGGCAGAGAGGGGTTCCCCAGCTACTTCCCAGTGACCTCGATAACATCATCGTCCTTATCCTCATCATCATTGGAGCTGAACCCCACCTCAGCAACCTCTTGAGAGTCAAATGGAGGCACCTGGGACCGAAGAAGGCCGCCAGCTGGGTAGCCTGCATGTGGGGACATGTAGCCTGGGTAGACAGACATGCCCCGTGAAAGGTTGCTGGGTAAAACAGGGGAAGGAAAAGGCGCAAACATCCTCGGCTCGGACAGGAGTGGCTGTGAGAATGGGAGTGAGTAGCTGGGTAGTATCCCTGGTACAGAAGGGTTGAGCATGAAGGAAGGGTTGCTGGCAGTGACTGAGGTAGCCGTGGAAGAGGAACTGACGGGGCCTGCTGGCACCAGAGGGTCAGTAGTCACTGGAAACACCAGGCGGGCATCTGCCAGCAAATTGGACAGCTGGTAGTAGGAGGGGGTACTGCCCATAAATAGGGAGTTCTCCCCAGCCTGGGAGGTAAAGGGAGGGGTGAGGTTATGGTTTAAGGAGACGGGTGGCATGGCAAACCCGCCAGAAACTGGATACCCGTGTTCATACGGCTGCACGGGGGCTGGCAGATGGCCTTTCCTAGACCGCCGGCGGACTGACTCCTGGGCAACAGGTGGTGTGGCCAATTTTCGCTTGTGGCCCTTTAAGTCCATCAATGGTTGTCTGTCACCACAGGGCTGGCCAGTCACCAAGAGGGAGCTATTGAGGCAATGACCCCCATGTCGAGATTCAGTCCCAAGAGTTGTCCCAGGAACAGCACTGCTGTCCGTAAGTTGGGCCGTGGGACCAGGCAGGGTAGCATTAGAGCTTGGGGAACTCTGATGGGATTCCCGGGCAGCAGCCACGTCTGCATACTGCTGGAGCTCACTGATGATTTCTGGGCTGTCTGGAGAGACGGGTCTGGCCAGCCCCTCAGCGTCGGGGGCTTTAGGTGATGAGGCACTGTGTCTGCCATTGCTTGTAGACTCGAGAGAAGGCCCCTGCGAACCTGCAGGCAAAATTATGTATATCAGAACCAGAATAGCTAGACAGAGAAGAGTCCAAGAGAAAATTCCATGAAAAAAAAAATCCTGTCCTGCAGTTCCCAAATTCTAATAGTTTGATGTACCAAAAATTAATACCCAATTTTTTCCACTGTCCATTGTCCTCCCGTTGTTCATCGATTTGCTCGAGCGGGCCCAGTAACATCTCCATTGTGAGACTTGCTGTTACTGTGTTTGGCATATCGAATATGTCACAGCGAGCTTGCCAGGCTTTGCCGTGCGGGCGAGATACTCTCAGTAGCTTGCCGGGCTCTCCGAGAGGGGCGGAGAAATCGAACCTGGGTTGGCCGGGTCAGCCGCGTGCAAGGCAAATGCCCTACCGCTGTGCTATGGTTCCAACCTAGTACCCCAAAAAAGCACTTGGTCTAGGAAATAGATCTATCCATGACAAGACACAGAACTTCATTATCCCATCCCTGATTTCCCAATCTATAAAACTTCACTGAGGTGACTCTTCAAAAGTAATGGAGAGGAAACACTAAAAGATCACTAATGAAAATCTTTCTCTGAGGGGCCAGAGTGACAGTACAGCGGGAAGGGCGTTTGCCTTGCATGCGGCCGACATGGGTTCAATCCCCAGCATCCCATAAGGCCCTCCAAGCAGTGCCAGGAGTAATATCTGAGTGCAGTCAGGAGTAACCCCTGAGCATCACTGGGTGTGACCCCCAAAACAAAAACAAACAAACAAAAAACCAACTTTCTCTGTACAAAAAAAAAAATTTGTTGGCAGGTGGGAGAAAAGAGAAAATGAAATTTAAAAAGCAGTCCATGGGGCTGGGTTGTAGAACAGAGGATAAGGTGCTAGCTGACCTAGAATCAATCCGCAGCATCTCGAAAGGTCCCCCAAGCACAACCAGAAGTGATCCGAGTGCAGAGCCAGAAGTAAGATCTGAGCACCACTGAGTGCCCCAAATGTCCTCCCCAACCCCCTCCTCCACAAGCAGTCCATGCTCACTTAAAAACAAGACCCATAACCATAAAAAAAATATTGAGAAAATAAAGAAATCTGAATATGACCTAGATCCAGAAAATATTATGAAATTATTAACTTTTTTTAAGTATAATAATGGTGTTGAAAGAGAAGAGCATCTCCTTTGCTTTTTCTTTTTTCCTTTGTGGGTCACATCTGGTGATGCTCAGGGGTCACTCCAGTCTCTGCACTTAGGAATTACTCTTAGCAGTGCTCAGATCGAATCGGGTTTGGAAACATGCAAGGCAAATGCCCTACCCACTGTACTATCGTTCCAGCCAGAAGAGAATATCATTAAAGTTAGAATAGGCAAGCTGAAGTATTGAAGGTTTGTAATATGATGTCTTCAACTTAAAGTTAGTTCAAATAGATGACAAATTTATGAGAATAAGAACAGTCATTGGATGTACGTGCATAGTTCATGAATGCTCATAATGCTATCTATGTGTATGAACATGTCCATAATAAAACCTGGGAACAAGAGCAGTCTGGCTCACATACCTTGGTGGTGGGAAGATAAATGAGAAGAACTATTATCAGAGAATGGAACTTGGCAAGAGGTCTTCACAACATTAATGTGCCACTCATACACTCCTTGGCCTGACAAATCTACCTCTAGGATTTATCCTATAGATACAGCAACATGACTATGAACCAGTACTGTAGCAGTGAATTAAAAATCTAAACATTCAAGGGCAGAGAACCTGATTATGTGTTACATTATCTAATGGTATCCCACGCAAACCTTAAATTAGGCACATCTACAAAAAATGGTAAGAATAAAAACACTAAGATACTACTAGTGTGTTTTTAAGACAGTAAATTGGGCCAGGTTGGGGGGGAAAAGGGGGTGGGGGGAAATGGTTATATTGTTAGGATTTGTTATATGAAGAAAAATTACATATGTATTGCTTGTTTTGGGACCACACTGACAGTACTCAAGACTTACTCCTACAGACCACACACCCAAAAGGAGAGAGAGAACACAAGGGATTGCCCTGCCACAGAGGCAGGATGGGATGGGGGGGATGGGGGTGGGAGGGATATTATCCATGGTGGTGGAAAATGGGCACTGGTGGAGGGATGGGTATTTGATCATTGTATAATCGAAACCCAAGCACAAAAAATTGTAAATCTACAACTGTACCTCATGGTGTTTCACTGAAAAAATAAATAAATAAATAAATAAAATTTAAAAAAATTAAAAAAAAAAAAGACTTACTCCTGACTCAGCTCAGGGTTCACTCCTGGAGGGGCTCAATGGACCATATATGGTGCCAAGTATTGAACCAGTGTCAGGCACGTGCAAGGCAAGATATACTGCTCTACTATCACTTCAGTTCTTATAGATATATTTTTTAATACACTTAGACACACATACATGTTCTTGCATACTAGACTATATCAAGAAATATAAACAAAAAAAAAAGAGAAAAAAGAAAATAAATATAAATGAATACAGAAACTCCAGGAAGAAACAATGATGACAGGTTATGGGGGGAATACATGTTTATTTTTTACTTTATTCCTTTCTTATATCTTTTGAGCTGTGAGCCATGTACACATTAGCAAATCAAAACACTGTGTAAATCAACAGACAGTGGAAGCCACTGTACCTGAGGCAGCCATACGACCATCTTCAGGAGCCTTTGGTTTGCCAGTTGCCCTAACAGCAAAGATCCTCCCATCACTGGTACGAATATATGTCCCTAAGAAGAAACATAAGGAAGAATGTTAGGAACGTTAGAACATGCAACAAATACAGCCACCCTAGAGAACTCTAGGCATAGGGATCATGGGTTGGGAAATAGTTATACATCCTTTCTCAGGACCTCTGAAATGAGAAACACAGCAAGTGGGCTGTGGAGTTATTATTATTCATCTATTACACAAATTCGTAATCACATAACCCATGTAAGCAGTTCTAGACACTGATGTTCACAAGTGAGAAAACGGTCAACCTCATAGTCATAGAGCTTGACACGGTACTGTTATTCAGGAAATATTGTAAGAAAAGGTTACAAGCAATGGAGTTAAAACATGTAGATGAAACTACACAATATACACAAGATAGTACAGTGGTTAAGGCACATAGCTTGTGTGGCACAGAGCCCTGCTTGGTCACTGGCATCACATGACCCCCCTAAGCATTGCCAGATATAGCCTCCATGATTCCTGAGCACTGCTAGGGAGGCAAGAGAGCAAGCAAGTGACAGACAGAGAGTGATTATACAGTAACACACATTGTTACTGTATACATTATATATATCATGCAATAACCCATTCCATAGCTTTCCCCTCTACTGTCAGGTCTCCCTGTATGTAGTGTAATGCTTGATAAGTTTCTGACTGCCAAGACATTTATTTAAAAATTATAAAATACCAGGGCAAAGGTGATAGTTCAAAGAGCTGGAATGCATGCTTTGTACACAGAAATCCTGGATTTGATCTTGGTACCACAGTCCTCCAAGCACTGTTGGGAGTACCTCGAGTGACACGCTGGGCATAAGTCCCAGTACCACTTGATATGGATATGAAATAAATAAGACAGAGTTACTAGATAAATGACTAGATAAGGAACTAGGCCACCCACCCTTTCAGAAAGCTCTACATGACCTAGAAACTGACCACTTGGGTGACTCTGCCTTCTTTTTCCACATCTGAATTCCTGTTACTTTATTTTTTGAATGTAATTTGCAGTGTGAGGGACTGAATCCAGGTCTTATGCATCTTGCATGCAAGGCATACACTTTAGCACTGAACCATATCCCTAGTGAAGTTTGAACTTCAATAAAGAATGAACTCTTTTGTTGATGTTTGTTTGGTTTGTGGGGGCCATACCCATCAGTGCTCCTATGGTTCCGCAAGCCTGCCAGAACTGATCCTTCAGTGAAAAACTCTTGAGCCCTACCCAACTGACCTTTAGTCCTAATAAAGGCAGTGACCTGTTGCACTTTCTCTTGCTCTTTTTCTCCCTATCACCCAGTGTCACCTTCTTGCATGTTTTGTACACCCCAAGATCCCTTAAGTATTAAACTTTCTTTTTTAAGGTTTTCTGAGGGCTGTTGGTGAGGGGTACCTTGTAATCATGAGAATTAGGGTCCATAATAACGTCCAGTTCAGCCAGAATGTGGCGTGTGGCTTCTGGCTCTGGTATATGAGAAAGTCATCAAACAGGGACAGGAGAATGCCTCAAGCACTCCTTCCTAGCTGACGACATCCCATCAACAGACTAGACAAATACTATGTCTACTCATTCTCCATAAAAAAACCGAGATGCTGTTGGATTAACAAAATGTAAAAATAAAAATAAATAAATCAGTGCCATCCAAAAAAAATGAGATGCTTACCTTTTGTCCCACGAATGATGTGAATGCTCTCACCGGCGTTAATTCTTGCCTGTACATCTGTGGAGCTGTTAAGTCCAGGAATAACTATATCTAGTAAAGACAGACCTCAAATTTAGATTTCATGGGGACTGACTTATGGAAGAAAAGAAAATGCAGTTGATAACCCTGGTTTCCTTACTATTTTCCCTAAGAGCCTCTCAGGAGAACAGGGATCAGAATCAATGAAGGTGAAGCAAGTGTGACCTCTCTCCTAAGTCTAAATGAAGAATGCTGTAAAAATAAGAAACTTTAATTTTGTTCTGTGGCCACACCTGGCAGTACTCAGAGGCTACAGGGTCAACTACATGTAAGGCAAGCACCTTAATCTCTTACTATCTCTCTACCCTGTCCCCAAAGAAACTTATAAGAAACAGGGAACCTTCCTGATCCATTTCCTGTGATTTAAGTAAAATTTCATAATTTTTAATATGGAAAAATTTTAGTTCAATAGTATTCTTCTATGGCTTTTCTTTTCTCTCATGTTACTTGCATGTTCTATATAACTTTAGGCACCAAAAGTAGCATCATCCTGGACATTATGCCACAGCTAACTAAAGTGTATTCAAGAATTAGTAAAGAAAAATTATTATAAGAGGATCTCTCTCTCAGCATTCCTTTTTTTTGGGGGGGGGGGTCACACCTGGCGATGCTCAGAGGTTACTCCTGGCTCCACACTCAGGAATTACTGCTGGCGGTACTTGAGGGACCATATGGAATGCCGAGAATTGAACCCAGGTCAGCCCCATGCAAGGCAAATGGTCTACCCACTATATATAGTTCCAGCCCCTCACTCAATTCTTTTTATGTGGGGACATTAATCCACTTAAGAAACAAAAATCACTCGCAGAATATGAACCTTACCGACATACTGCTAAAAATATGGGTATGTGAGTTTTGTGACAGAAATCTCCAGGTTTTCTTCAGGTCGGGATGAACTGACTATCTCTCCCAACCTCCCTGTACTTACAGAAGCCCCACAGTCACGTCCACACCCCAAAGCTGCCAACCAGTGAAAAAAATTTACTTCAGTTGTACCTTACTGACAAAAATAATGAATGCCCTGAACAAACACAATGACTTTATTTTTTTTTGGCTTTTTGGGTCACACCCAGCAATGCACAGGGGTCACTCCTGGCTCTGCGCTCAGGAATTACCCCTGGCGGTGCTCAAGGAACCATATGGGATGCTAGGAATCGAACCCGGGTTGGCCGCATACAAGGCAAATGCCCTACCCGCTCTGCTATCGCTCCAGCCCCACAAACACAATGACTTCTTAGTACCTGTATTGCAAATCATAATGCACAAAAGAAGAGGGAGAGGAGAAATATGATGGCGATGGTGGTGGTGGTGGGGAGGGTATAAGAGGCTGGTGGGAGGGAAACTGGGGACACCGGTGGTGGAACATTGTATGACTAAAACTCAATCATGAATAGCTTCGTGATGGTTTATCTCACTGTGATTCAATTTAAAAAAGGAAAGAAAAATCAGGGCTGGAGCAATGTAGGGTGCTTGCCTTGCACACAGCCAACCTGGGTGCAATCCCCAACATACCATATGATCCCCTGAGCCTCTCTAGGAGTAAGATGTGACCACCTCAGAGTGTGGCCCAAAAGCAAAAAAGCAAAAAAAAAAAATCAGGGATCAGGAGATAGTACATTGGGTAGGTTTTTTGCCTTGCATAAGCCCCATCTGGGTTCAATCCCCAGCACCCCATATGGTCTCCAGAGCTCCGCTAAGCATAATTCCTGAGCACTGAGCAGAGTAAGTCCTGAGCAGTGCCAGGTGTGGCCTAAAAACAAAAACAATAAAGAAAAAACAATAAAGAAACAAATATTACATACCAGATTTATCTCTGAAACATTTCACAAATTTGCATGTCATTTGTTCAAAAGGGCCATGCTAATTTCCTCTGTCTCATTTTAATTTTAGGATATGGGTGCCAAAGCAAGCATAGGAGGCTCTCTTTCTATTGGAAAGGTTTCTTTACTCATTTCAAATTTTATAAAAAGGGCATTAATCCCAAAATGAAAAAAAAATCAGTTATTTTCATGACAACTTATATATTGCAACTATTTCTAGACAACAAATTAAAAAAGCATAATCAAACACTTTCCTTCCCTGAGCCATAAGAACCAACGGTGAGGACAGTAGGCTGCTTACCTCCTTCTACTGCCCACAGGTCCACCATGCTCAATCCACACTCACAAAGAAAGAAACAAGTGCTATTCAAGTCTATTTATGTAGAGAGAATGACAGCTGTTCTTTACGAGCAGCTGTCCTATAGACTAACCCTAAGTGTCAGTGACACTTCTAACAATCTATAGAGTGCCCATTCTACTCCACCCACCACAGTTAAGAAAACTGTTTCCGTGCTATTCTTCTTTTCAAATCTAGGGGCCACGATTAGCATGCTGCAGTAGGGGTCGGGGCTTGAGTGCTCCTCAGGGTGGTTGTAGTATGTGTGTGTGTGGGGGGGGGGGGGGGAGAATGATTAGGTCTGGCATTGTGTGGGGTCCACCAGGGCTATACACCACAGTACTTGGGGGAAGGGGGATCATTAATGCCAGAAATGGAACCCTGTTTCTCAAGCATGCAGACCATGTGCCCTACCACTTGAGCCACATGCCCAGCCCCAATTCTTAAGATATTTCATTCCAATGTAAATCCCTCAATCAGCAACTGCTATTTTCTCTATTTACTACAGTGCCAATGTATTAAGAACCCAGAACTCAAAAGGTATTAATAACTACTTCCTGAACAAATAAAGTAATTTTGAAAGGGAGAGCATTCCTAGAATGAAACCCAGAAGTTTCTAACCTGTTGTGGTGACCACCTTCTGCACAAGGACTCCTGCACGCTGCAGGTAGTTGATCGGGAAGTTCATTGCTGGATTTGTGCCAGAGGCAGAGCTTACACTGCCTCCCAATGGGACATGTCGTGGCATCATGGGAATGGGAGTGGATTGTACAGGACGAACACTGGCCACAGGCTTCTCATCACTCTTCAGTGTTGGTTGCCTGAGAAAAAAACAAATGCATTAAGGGAGTTTGGTAAAATAGCCCTTACTTAGCTTTCTGCAAATGCTGTAGTCTCTCCAATTTCCCCATTATGCACCCTTATTGATAAGTAAGTGATGAGAAGAAACTGCAGGAGACTAGAGGCAGGACTGAGACAGAGTGGCAGACAGAGAGGTAGTGAAAAATAAAGCCTCTCAAGAGTACAAATTCAGATGTCAGCAGATTAGCACCTTTCAAAAGATTGAGACTACATCTGCTCCTTCAGAATCTGAACTGTCTGTCTACATTTGGAATTAGTCCTTGCCGGATAGTTAGAAAAACACAAAAATGTAACAAGGGAGGAAAAGTTCTTCAGAACTCAGTGTATACTAAGTTGAAGAAAAGTGGGTGGAATTTTCCCACATGCCCAAGGAGAAAAGGTATATTTGCCAAAGGGCCGCGGCGCTCTATCTCCCTCGCCACCCGTGTTCAGTGGTCTCTGCTTCCCCCACCCCAGGGAGGCCGATGGCGATGGGTAAGCGAAGGAAGGAATGAGGGCCAGGCTGGTCGGTATCAACTGCAGTTTATTAATCTCCTCTGATTCCCCTTCTGTTTCTCTCTCTCTAGATCCCCCATCATTCTCCTTCCAGCTTCCCCAGCCCACTCTTACAGCCTGGTTTATATAGAAATCATGTAGGGTAGGAATACAAAGCTGGGGTTGAACATTAACAAATCAACAAAGAGATGTAAGACCACTCCTCCAGGAGATTAACTCAAGGACAAAATCTCATCTAAGGAGACTACTCCAGATTACTAGATCTGCTCAAGGGAGGGATTCCATTAAGGGTGTGTTGCTTTCTGCTTTCCCCAACTAGTAATCCATTTAAATAGTTATAGCAAATTCACTTCTAATATTTCTAGCAATGTCATTTTGTATGAGCACAGTAAAAGATATATTAAGCTTAAATTTTGGTTCTTCCTGAGAACATCTCACTAGATATTCCAAACCACAGCCCTCAGGCCAGCTTAGTCTTCCTAAGCCCAGAAAGGTCCTTATTCAGTTACCTCTTTTGGGTCATGATAGGGTTTGTCCATGAACGTGCTCTTAACTTATAGTTAAGTATTATGGCACTTGGCCTGGCCCATTTTGATGCCAGAGTAGCTCACAGCTTGCCATGGGTCCATTCAGCCCCTCGCCAGGACCCTGCTTTTGGGGTGCTAGGAACTAAGGGCAACTGAGGCTTAAGTCTACAAAGCAGATATCCGGGAGTGAATATCAATCAGAGTCATTTGACTCCCAAGTTACAAAAGCATAATATTAACTGTTTTGCTGTGTCCATATAAAAGGGACATTGCTTTAAAGTAAACTATGCAAAAGACGGAGAAAAGCAATATTTAACTTACAAGTTCAGTGTTCTTAGAAGGATCTGATCTTACAAGTAAACAGAATCTGATTAGGGAAAAAGGTGATTGGGTTGGGGAGTAGAGCACAGAGAAGAGTTTACAGATAAACATAGAGGAATGGGAGTGACTGGGGGGAGAGGGAGCACTGTGATGGGTGTAACCCGATAAACCTAAGCTCCCTGTGGCAAGGGAGAAAGGACAAACCAATGTTATCCTGCAGGGTTATATAATGCCAAGATCATGAGAGATTGACCACTGTAATTTAACCAGCATCTTTACTCTGTGAGACCACAAGTCTCAATAAGTTATGCAGATGTCTCTCCTCTGCTTTTCACTGGGCCCTTCCTGGGGTCAATTTTCAAAGAACCCTTCCAGTCATAATCACCTTACAAGTAGGAATAGTTAAAATGCTGGGCACAAAAGTCAAGTTTCTAAATGGAACACGGCCCTGACTAGCCTGAGCACCAGCTGTGTACTGTTATTACCAACATGTGAAAATGTTATCTGATGACCAAGAATGCATTCATTCCTTACTCTTCACCTTCCTTTAAACTGGATGTTGGTGACGCTCACCATAACCATGCTGCCGGAGCTAGCGCTAGGCTCTTTTACTCAGGGCGTCTCGGAGAGGGGCAGGTAAGACCCCTCTCCGCTCCAAGGGATCTAACCCTGGCAGCCAAAAACATTCAGAACCCAGCTGCCGCCATGCCTCTCTCCACACGCTTGGGCTGAGCATCACCCACAAGTGAATCTATTCCTAGACCACGCATCTGCATTCGCTACCACGGGATACTTCAAACCACACATCCTACCCATACTACAACATTACCGCACCACATCTGATAGGGCTCAAAGTAGGAAGCAACCAATCTTAGAGGGAAATATACAATTTTTCTTTCTTTTTTTTTTAAGATACATACTTAAAAAGCACACAAGGCTCAACCTTTAACAACCTTTAAGTCAGCTCTTATAAAAAGGCTAATGGCCTCTGGGTGAAATACAACAATCTTCATACTCTCTCCTCTAAAGATACTTTTTTGGTAGCATTTTCAGAGGTTTTTCATAACAAACAATACAAAATATATTATTTTGGTTCTGCTTTGGGGCAGGGATTGGGGTTCAGGATGGAAACACCCGAAATATGGTGGTGGGAAGGTGTAATGGTAGTGGGATTGGTATTTGAATATTAAATGCAATTAAATATTGTGAACTACTTTATAAAATAAAAAAAATTAAAAAAAGAGAAAATGACAACACACAAAAATAAAATGACTGAAAAAAATTAAAAATAACTAGATGTTGACACCTAGAGAAAGTTAATCCTGATTTAAGATTTTTTTAAAATTAAGACTCTGTTTCTAAGCTTTGTAACATCTATATCTTTAGTGTTTAAACCTTTGAATGAGACCTATTTTTCCTATCATACTAAAGAATAGTACATGGAAGAATACTTTCCCACCACTCTGCTCTTGGAGTTGGTCTTCAAGACTGCTCATTCACATTTCTCTCAGGTCATTGCAGGCCCCTTTGACAACTCAGGGCCCTGTAGACTTTCACGTTCCCAGACAGAACAGATCTAAGGGATGTTTCCTCAATGTGTTCCCATGTTATCTTCGTTAGAGTTAGAGGTCCTAGTCAGATGCCAATGACACCTGTCCCCAGATCAAAGTCAAAAAGTATAATAATAACTGAAGTCAACATCCTTACTCTGGAGGAGCTAGAAATTTTGATGGGAAGGCCTCCTTACATATACTTAGACAGACCAGTGATCAGCAGGCTTATGATATCATTCATCAAATGCTGTGAGAGGTCGGTGCCAGAATGGGTTAGAAAAGGGGCTGACATCCCACAGATTTGCCATCTCCCATCCACACAGCTTTCCTCCTACTAAGATCAGGCTTAATCAATTCCTACTGTTACAGAAAAAAGCCCAGAAGAAAGATAAAATATGGGTGGAGGATAAGAAATGAGAATCACCCATCTAGCAGTATCTTACAAAATGATAATGGAAAGCTGAAAAACTTGAGAGAATTATTTTCAACTTGAATGCATCTTGTATACAAAAAGTAGAAATTCACTCACCAAAAAGGTGAATCTTTTATTTGTTTTGGGGCCATACCAGCAATACTCAGAGGTTACTCCTGGCTCTCACTCACAAATTACTTCTGGTGGTGCTTTGGGCACCAAATGGGATGCAGAGAATCGAACCCAGAATGACAGTGTGCAAGGCAAATGCCCTATCCACTGTACTATCTCTCCACCCATGCACCCACCCCTCCCCCAAACCCCCCCAAAAAAGGTCTTTTTCTTTCTCTTAAGGTGCTAGGAATCAAACCCAGAATCTTACATATGCAAGACATATGCTCTACCACTAGCCACATTCCTAGCCCCAAATTAAACTGTCACTGTCCTCCCGTTGTGAGCAGGCCCAGTAACATCTCCACTGTGACACTTTTTACTATGTTTGGCATATCACGGGTAACTTGCCAGGCTTTGCCTTGCGGGTGAGATACTCTCAGCAGCTTGCCGAGCTCTCCGAGAGGGGCAGAAGAATTGAACCTGCGCCAACCTGTTGGCTCATGCAAGCTCCAAATTAAACATCTTACATAAAATGTTAAATGGTTTCAGTTCCTCAGAATCTCATTTGGTACTTTTTATTTTATGTTTCTGGGCCATATTCAGCTGTGATCAGGGCTTACTCCTGGCTCTGCATTTAGGGATTACTCCTTGGCAGTGCTCAGGAGACAGTGTGTTGTGCCAGGAATCAAACTCAGGTCAGCCACCTGCAAGGCAGGCTCCAGCCCCTCATTTGGCACTTTTTACTGTTTCATAGCACATATCGCAGAATTCAGGAGAACATGGTTGCGTGGCTCAAGTTGTTCCTTTTTAAAAACATTGAATCTAACCATAATGCCCAAAAGTAGAGAGAGAGTACAGGGGAAATTGTCCGCCATAGAGGCAGGGGAGGGTCAGAAAGGGGGGGCGTGGTATATTGGGGTGGTGGAGAATATGCACTGGTGGAAGGATGGGTGTTCGATCATTGTATGACTGAAACTCAAACATGAAAGCTTTGTAAGTGTATCTCATGGTGATTCAATAAAAAAATAATAATTGTATCTTCTTAAATTTTAACTATTCATTTTAAATATAACAATTATACTGATTTGAAGAAAAGCAATTTAGAAATGCAAACAGGGTTGGAAGAAAATACAGCAGTTCAATCCCAAGCTCAAGGCCTACTCCCAGAGAATGGCTAGGTGCAGTTTTGGAGAGCCCCAGGGTAGTCCAAATAATCCTTGGCAATACAGGATTTGTGCAGCACTGCAATCTGGGTTTTGCAGTGAACCACCAGCCCAGCTAGCCAAGAGCAGCCAGCAGGGAGTCCCCTATTCAAAAGCAAATAAATCAGTCTTGATAGCGGAACTGGTAGAAATTGTGGGGCACTTAGTTTTGAAATTTAATAAAAATTTAACTTAAAAATTAAACATAGATAACTGTGATTTCTTACAAAGAGCCTCTCTTTTATCTTGATATTTGGTTTCCATCCTATTTGTGCTCTGAACAGTTCTAAAGGATATATACTACAAAGAATAAAAATAATTTTTTCGCTCAGGCTCATGGCATCGTCATAGAATAAAATTTCAAAAGGAACAGCAGAATTTCCTTGAATACAATCCAAGACTCAAAAATCTGTCTTACACCTTTATACTTGACAGCAAAGCTAGTCCGAGGACCAAAGTTTTATAGGTATGGCGCAGCTGTCTGGGAAGGCTGGGCCTGTGTTTGGGAACCTATCCAAAAGAAATGAAGCACGAAACCAGCAATTCATTTTTCCAGCCAGGACTACTTAAAATACCAGAATTGCTGAACCACTTTGGCACCTTATCAAAAAGCAAAACCTGCCAGTTTAAAGTGGCCAAAAGACTCCAGTCAAAAAGTATGGTTCTGGCCTAGAAGCACACCTTCTTCCTCTTTCAGGGACTTACCAGTTTCTCTGACTGAAGGCAGGGATGCTGGTCAGGCTCTGGTCACTGGCAGGATAATACTGGGCATATGATGGGCGGGTGTAGGGAACTGATGTACGTTTGTCTTCTTCATAGCTTTTCTTTGCTGCCTTTTTCTCAGCCTTGGTCAGCTTGTGATCCTTTCGGTTAAGGAGCAATGACTCATGCTCAAAAGGCTCCTGGGGACACACAGGAGGATACTGATTTAATTACCACCAATCTTTGTGCCAACATGACAGATAATACAATGAGCCTCACTTTGAAACCAAAAAAGGGCTGGGCACCTCTAGCAGTAGCAAAGACCCTGCTCACAGACAAACAGGAAGGTTCACTATTTTTCTGTTAAAAATATTATCCACCATTGTAACCTAGGATCAGTGCCTGACAATCTTATGCTTTCCATATTAAAATAAAAAGTTCAGAGAATGAACAAACTATATTTAAAAATTTCCTCCCTCTTTGCTCAGAAAACTGACACTGACCAAATTAGCCCATATGGCTAAACCCAGCACTCAGAAGGACCAGGTTAGAGGTGGGCTTAGGTGGCTAGAGGTGGTTAAAGAGCCTGCGTTGGGGCAAGGAAAAGAACCCGCTGAGAGAGCGGGCATGTGACTCAAGTGTCTTGCAGTTACAGTGCCTTTCAGTTCAATTCCCAGCATCATATGCCCCTAATAAGTCCTAGGTGTGAGTTCCACACCAACATCACCATAAAGAATCAGCTAAGGTCAAGTTGCTCACATGAAACAAAACTTTAAATTAAGGACACAAATCTGCCAAACAAACCTCAAAAGAGACAGTATTAGTGAACGTACGCATGCCACTTTCTTACCTTGGTGATGAGGTGAGGGTACTTCAGACAGGCAAGTTGTAAAACTGGCTCCTTGATTCCCTTTATGTTCAAGGATGCTTGGGGAGCGGGCTCCTTCTCAACAAAATGCAGTAGGTTCTCCACCTCCTTCCGAGTAAAGTTCAGCATTGGATTGAGGTCATCTACTACCCTATCTAGAAGGGGGAAGACATGCGAAAAGTCAATATATGGAAAAGAAAACAAAAACAAAAACAACACTAAAAAAAAAATGTTGGCAGAGAGAAGGAAGGGTGCAAGGGGAGTAACCATCACTAATATCTAAATCACCTCAAGTCATTCCATATTTGAAAGTTAAAGAGGAAGGAGTAAAAGAGAATACCATTAAGAAAAACCTGCACAACTATCATGGCTCTTATCATTAAACCTACATTTAACAAGTTGAGGTCACTCTCCTCTTGAGCAATTCTTTTAGTCACAATGAGATGGGAGGAACTGTTAGCTTTCTAACACTGTAGGCGTAATGTATTTCATATTCAGTCCCTCCCTCTGACCCTTAATATTATCAGGTGCTGGCCTATACATATTATGGTGTCTCTCCTGAGCCTGCAAGATAGCCCACCTGACATGCCCTGCTTGGAAATCTGACGATCATAGATCTTCTTTTCCAGGGTGAAATCAGCCACCAGGCGATAGATGTGACAGGGTTTTTTCTGGCCATAACGGTATACACGACATACTGCCTGGGCATCATGGCAAGGGTTCCAGGAAGCATCAAACACCACTACTCGGTTGGCACCAATCAGATTCACACCTAAGCATCCAGCCCTATAAAATATAAGCCAACAATCAAAGAGCCTTAAAGTCTTAAAGATGGTTTTCAAATTGATTTTACCAAACTCTTCCATCCTGTGACTCCTAGTGTAATCTCACCCTCTTGTTAAATACTTCATACTCAAGGGTTCTGCTGTTCTCCTAATAAAGAATATGTTCTATAAGCACTGGATGCTTAAGAACTCTTGATGATGAGTAAGTCCTCCCACATCCTGCCTCAGAGTGAAGGTCCTTGGTGAAGGGAAACATCTGTACACAGCTGTTTCTGGTGTTTTTATTTTAACAACTGAGGAAAATAACCGATTCATGCCCTATCAAGAACACTCTAATGATAAAAGGCAATACAACTTTCAAATTGCGTGGTACAAGACAAACAATGCCACAAGTCCTTCTCACTTTCCCTGACATGACACTTTCAATGTTTTTCTCCTAGTTTTTATCTGCTCGGGTTTTACTCTTCAGTGTTCAGGTTTTACTCTTGGCTCCACACTCAAGGATCACTCCTAGCACAATCAGGGGATCCTCTATGGTGCTGGGGTTGAAAGCAGATCAACTGCATGCCAGGCAAGCACTAATTCATTACACTATCTCTCCGGTCCCAGTGCTTTCTACTTTGCTGGGAGGTGGAGAGAAACTGGGGGGAGCCACACCTAGCGATGCTCAGGGGTTACTCCTGGCTCCACACTCAGGAATTCTTAGTGGTGCTCAGATGACCATATGGGACATTGGGGATCAAATCTGGGTCAGCCATGTGCAAGGCAAGCACTCTGCTGTATTATTGCTCTAGCTCCAATTTCTATTTTTCAAAGCACTTTCACATTCACCATTACTCTAAGCCTCAGAACATTACTGAGAGAAAAAATTAGTAATGGTTATTGTCACTAAAATTCTCAAAGACCCTATCATAATTGCTTTTCTAATAGAACTCCTTTTGGGAATTCTTCTCTGACCTCAAAAAACCAAGTCAATCCTGAGAAAATCTCTTCTGATAGAAATTGGATTAGCCTTTGGGGTATCTGCTCAAGTGGCCAATTGCTCTAACCTCTCCTGTTAGGATCTACTCACCTCGTGGAGAGAAGGAACAACCAGGTAGTGAGGTTGCTGGGATCATTGAACTGATTAATGAGCCGCTCCCTCTCAAAGGCAGGGGTGCTTCCATCCAGCCCTAAGAAAGAAGAAAACCAAAATGGCATTATCACTCGTGTGCGTGTGGGGGGGGGGGGGGGAAGGGTGTGTATGTATGTGCTGATGGGGAGGGATACACAGTTGTGTAATGGGGTTATTCGTGACTTGTGCTCAACAGAGACCTGGCAGTGTGTGCAGAATCTAGGCAGTGCCAGGGATCAAACCAGGGTCAGCTCCATGTAAGGCAATGTATTACCTCCTATACCATTTTTGGTCCCTGGGAAAATGTGTTTTAAAAACAAAACAAACAAACAAACAACAATAAAATTACTGTGTACAGATTGTGTAAGTGAAAACTAGGCATCTACAATTTAAAAATTCCCTGGGTGATTCTCATTGACAACAAATTATTTTTTCCCTTTGTGTTTTGGGCTAATTCTAAGGATACCTTTCCTATAACTCAGTATGTATAAGAAGAATCACCCTAAATAAGGGTGCTTGGAAAACACTTATTCAGTGTGATCTCTCTGCCTTGGTGTAGAAGGACAAAGGGCTTTTATATTTTGATAGGGTGATGGTCCACCACCAAGAAGTTACACTGTTAATATAAAGTGGGATGGGAAATATGAATGAAAATGGAGAAACTCAAATGAGGCAAAAAAAAAATTAGACTTCAGTTAAGAAGTATGAATAATAAGAGGAAGAGCAAAATGTGTTATCTTTAGTAAAATAAGAGCAAAGCTAAAACCCTGAAATATCACAAGGAGAACTAAGTTACTAAGTTTTAATACTAGTTGAGTTATTTAGTATTGGAGGTCACTTAACTTAACTGATCAATCAGCATCCCAAACTGCCTTTCCAATTTGAGTTCCCACATTTTCAAAGCACAGCTCATCACTGATTCACTGAGCAAAAATACAATTAAGACAAGCCTCCAGGACAGACCCTGTTTGGGGGTCTTCTCACCATTTAGACCCTCTCTTTTCGGCTCCCTTATCAGCTCCTGACTCTTTCTTTCTTTATGGTCAGATTCTCTACATGGGCTTCGCCTCCCTCTCACTCCACAGGGAACATTTGGCAACAACGAAGGATATTTTTGGTTGTTATAATTAGGTGGATATTACTGCCATCTAGTGAGTGAAGACCAAGGATGATGCTCAACATCCTACATTCCACATGACAGTCCCCCATAAAAAGAATGATGAGATTCGAACGTTAATATGTGGGCAATGAAAGCCTGAGGTGAATACTTCTCAATTTTTTTCCATTCCCACTTTTTTTTTTTTTTTTTTGCTTTTTGGGTCACGCTCAGGGGTTACTCCTGGCTCTGCACTCAGGAATCACTCCTGGTGGTGCTCAGAGGACCACATGGGATGCTGGGAATCAAACCCGGGTAGGCTGCTTGCAAGGCAAACGCCTTACCCACTGTGCTATCATTCCAGCCTGGCATTACCACTTCTTACGGGGGTCTTTTCATATATTAACCCCTCCCATGATACCACATAGTTTTTGGGGGTTTTTTTTTTTTTTTTTTTTGCTTTTTGGGTCATACCCGGCGATGCACAGGGGTTACTCCTGGCTCTGCACTCAGGAGTTACCCCTGGCAGTGCTCAGGGGACCATATGGGATGCTGGGAATCGAACCCGGGTTGGCCGTGTGCAAGGCAAACGTCCTACCTGCTGTGCTATTGTTCCAGCCCCCACCACATATTTTAGACGTTTTTCTTCTATAGATTTGTGACTTATACTTTTAAAAAGTTAACGTTTATTGTTTTCAAAAACTAATTTTTGCCATGCCTCTGGCCGGACTCCATCTCCTCAGGACTGAGCCTCACAGAAAACCTCACGTACAGGGGTCCCTGTGACTGAAAACTCCAGGTCTTCTTAGAGTAGGGATGGGCTATCTCCCAGCACTTCCCCGTACTTCTGGAAGCCTCAGCAGTCACATCCACACCCGAAAGCCACCATCCAGTTAAAAATTCTGAATTTCCTGAAGCATGCAGTCTCTACTAACAAAAACATTAATGCAGATGGTTCAACTTTTAACAACATCTTAGTAATTCCTCAGACAAGGACTTAATGTCCCCATGGTTAGATACAACAATTTTCACTAATTTTCTTCTAAGGAAAAATTTTTTGATCATTATGTTAGCAATTTATTGGTAACAAGCAATATAAAATATATTATTGTGGGCCTGCTCTAGGGTCAGACTTGAGGGGTGGTTGGGGAAATTGGAGACAATGGTGGAGGGAAGGTGATAGTGGTGGTGGGATTGGTGCTGTAATATTGAATACCTATAACATAAAATAATCATCATGAACAACTTTGTAAACCACAGTGTTTAAATGTGTGGGTATGAGGGGAAGTGCCATGGTAGCTGTACGTCTATCTAAAGCCCAATCCCCAAAAGCTATTAATAACCCTAAAATTTAGGCAATAACCTATCAATAAGTAATAAGTAAATAAATCAAAGTATAATCAAGAAATGTAATACTGCTCAGCAATGCAGGAGAAAAAAGGTGAACCACTCCAACTGGTGAAGTGATGGGCAATGAAACACTAAGTGTCAGGAGCCTGGCACTCAAAAATGACTGAAACTCACTATACATCTCATGGTGATTCAGTAATATTTTAAAAAAATATTTGTTAAGTAGAAAAAAAGTTCACCCCCTTAGAGATGACATGTGTTAATAGAAAATGCATCATCTAGACCCCTGCTCATTCTGCCCCCTCCACCTAGGATGATCATTGGGTCATACTGGCTCAAGATATTGAAATTTTCAATTTGTAAATCTAGCGCAAGTTCTTCCCCTTCCAGAAATTCTCACTAATCATCCCCACCGTGATGGTTCTGCCCTTAAAATCCCAATTGGGGTGCACTGCATCTTGGAGTTGCTGCGTCTCAAGCGCAGGGTTCATCACTTTTCTTCCTTTTATTTCACAGCATTCCACACTGGGGTTGCCCATGCCCTATGTTAGGGTCCTAATTTCCTTTATGCTTTTTGACACTCCCATCACTCCTTCTCAGCCTACATTCTCCTCAAAATTAAGACCCCCCCTCAATAAAACTATATTACTTAAAAACATTAGCACCCTCAATTAGAGTACTCAATCAGTGTTATTTTCTGTTTTCATACTGTCTAATCTCAGATAAAGAAAGGGCCTGTCTTTTGTCTCTCCGTGTTCTCTTTTCTCACCAAGATCCCTGACACCAAGTGCAATGAGAACAGTGTTTCAAACACAGCCAATGCTCAATCTCTTCCTGTTCCTTCACTAATCATTCTTAGGCATGTGACAAAGGACAGCAGGGAGGGAGAGAAGGAGGTGGAGAGGAAGAGTATTAGGGGGAGAGGGAGGAGGAGGGGGGAAGAGAGAGAAAGAGAAGAAAAGGAAAATGGGAAAAAGGAAAGGAAACTTTTTAGCAAACCTTACTTAGTGAAGCTTCAGGAACAAAGCAACAATAAACTCACGGAAATAGCTGACGTTTCGAACCCATTTCTGTACTCCTTGTCCCTCAGCACAAGATATACAGGGTACTTCACGCTTCCCTAGGAACTCCTCGATGAGAGCCAAGGTGGAAAGACTCTGGCTGAAAGGGACAACATTTGATTGAGAAGTTGCCCAAACCCAAGGCATTCTGGTTCCCCACCAGGTCCACAGTCATGCTGTCTTCTGGAAGTAGGAACTGCCACAAACTGCCACTACTCTAAACATTGGGCTTGATTTCTAGTACTACCCACAAAGAGGTAATGCGACAGAAAGATCAAGGGTCTTCCCAGCCTACAATGAGAACAGATGCTTATTATGCTTATTATCAACAACCCCACTAGAAAATTTTCTACTCTGAAACTTTCACATTAAAAATATCCGGGGAATCAATTTAATGCATAATCTCAAATAGCATTCAGCATAAAAATCCAGCATCGTGTGAATATGTTAGAATTAATTACATGCCAGAAGCAATACCATGGGTCATACTAGGAGATAATCATTCAGAGAGATTCAAAATTATAGAGTAAATATCCTCAGAAGTAATCCATAAAAACAGATGAACACTAACAAGTGATCCATAAAAACAGCTGAACACTAGTCGCTCCCCCAAGTTGAAGTCATTACTTTCCTCTTAAGAGTATCATTTTGTGGAAACCTCTGAGGCTCTAAGCCAGGCTCCTGACACTTAGCTGTCACTGAGCATAATCTACTAAGAAAAAAGAGGGAGGGGCTGGAGAGATAGTATAGCAGGCAGGAAACCTGCCTTGCATGCTGCTGACCCAGGTTCAATCCCTGGCACCATATATGATCCCCCAGGCCCTGACAGGAGTGACTCCAAAGCACTGAGCCAGGAGTAAGTTCTGAGCACTCCTGGTCCAAAAGTAAAAAAAGAAAAAAAAAAAAAAAAAGAAGACACCAAAAATAAGAAACTCTGGCTAGATTAAAGTGTGACTCTGACTCTCTGACTCTGGAACAGATAATATTATTTAATGTTATATATAAAGCTATATGGGGAAAAAAAAGGTAGAAGTAGATCAGAATTTTTTCTTTTTGGGTCACACCCAGCGATGCACAGGGGTTACTCTTGGCTCTGAGCTTGGGAATTACTCCTGGCGGTGCTCAGGTGACCATAAGGGATGATGGGAATCGAAGCTGGGTCGGCTGCATGCAAGGTAAATGCCCTACCTGCTGTGCTATCACTCCAGCCCTTAGAAAATATTTTCAGTAAAGGTCAGACAACAAATATTTTAGATTTTGTACATTATATAGAATCTCTATGTGTGTATAGAACTTCTGTTCACTTTGGGACCACATATGTGGTCACAGGTCACTCCTGGAAGTTGTTGAGGGTGAGGGTATGGGTATAACAATGTGACGCTGAGGACAGAATCCAGGCTTCCAGCACTGTGAACTCTTTCCTTGGTGTGTGTATATATATAGTGGGTATATATATATATATATATATACACACATACATATATAGTGGGGGCAGGGAAGATCCAATCTGGTGATTCTTAAGTCAATCTGAGAACCTTAGGATGTGCTGTTGTTCAGGTCCTATGGTGATGGGGATTACCTAGACCACTCAGGCAGTGTTGGGGTTGGGGTGTTTCATTATTACACCTGGTGATATTAGGGAACTGACTACGTGGTGCTGGTGATAGAACCAGGTTCTGCTGCATGCAAGGCATATGCCTTAATTCCTGAATTATCTCTCCAGCTCCTCTCCTTTCTAAAACAAACAAAAAAAGTCTTAAAAACTAGCTTTCAGGCTATGAAAAAAGTGTGGGGGGGGGGGAGATGGACACAGATCAGATTAGTCTGTGAGCTCTGTAGTTAGTCTGGGCTTTGAAACTGTCTTCACAAAGAAAATCATATTGAGTAAAGAAACTAACCGACTATAATGCAAGAAAATGCTTACACGAAACATAAGTAACACATATAGAAGAGGGTTGGTACAACCCAGATGGTCTCACTCTAAAGGAACTGTTACTCTTTGAGACATACATACACCATCACTAGGAATGCCTCTTCATACCTGAATACAAGGATCTTGTCTCCAAGCTTCACACTTTCCTCAATCAAGTGGAAAAGTAGTACCATCTTGGGAGAGTTCTCTAAGACTCCAGTCTGATAATTAGTCAAAATGTTCTTGGCCTAAAGTAGAGAAATAAGGCAGCATGAATGGGCCAAATCTCTAGAAATAACATTCTATCCCTCCAAAACAGCAGCTTACAGCAGCCTTTAGAGTTTCTACAGCAGACCTTGGCAATGTCATAAACTGTGCACTCCACACTTAAACTCCAAACAGGTCTTCATCATCCTTTCTCAGAAGTGGCTTGCTTCTGAGTCTCAGAAGAATCTGTTTAACTCACCCATTCATATGTAACAATGTTGTTGCCTCGCTCCTGGAAAGGGTTGAAGCCAACTCCTTGTAGGAACTTGCTATTGGTTGCCTCTCCCATTGAGGAGGCCAAGGCACTGTCCTCCGCCTTGCCTTTTGCTCCTTGTGATGAGCAACGTGCACTTGTTCCTGCCGAGCCAAGCTCCTCCACATCTAGGTCCTGTTCATTGGCCAAGTTCTCTTTCTGAAGGGCTTCATACAGCACATCTGGGTGATTCCAGATCTAAGGTTCAAATTAAACGAGAAAAATGACATAGTGTAAGAAACATGCTAAGGTTGTTCCATAGATTCTGGAATTGCACTTGCTTATACAAATGCTTTTCACAGCATATACTGTCACAACCCAAATTAAAGGAAATCCCAATTCTCAAGAAATATGTATCTAGATGCTGAAGAGAATATAGTGGATAAGGCATTTGCCTTGTACATAGCATACCCAGATTTGATCCCTGGCACCTCATTTTCTTCCCCCAAGCTCCATCAGAAGCAATTGGTGAACTCAATTATCAGGAAGGTATAAGCCCTGAGTAACTCTGGTGTTGTCCTCATATTAACTATAATAACAAAGAACAAAATACATATACAAGGGTTTTTGGTTTTTTTTGTTGTTGTTGTTTGGGTCACACCTGGCGATGCACAGGGGTTACTCCTGGCTCTGCACTCAGGAGTTACTCCTGGCGGTGCTCAGGGGACCATATGGGATGATGGGAATCGAACCTGGGTTGGCCGCGTGCAAGGCAAACGCCATACCCGCTGTGCTATCTCTCCAGCCCCTATATACAAGATTTAAGGAGTGCTTTCCATTCAATTCCTCCCCCTTCTGTAGGATTTTCCACACAGTGCTCAGGAAGCAAACGAAGCCCTCTTGGCAATTCTTGGCCATTTCTCAACTGAAGGTTCAATGCAAGATCCTGAGGATGTGACGCTGCGAGGGCCCTGTGCAGTGGGTTATCCAGGCCATACTGGAGGTGTTCGAGGGTCCGCTAGGGGTACATCTGACAATGTTCAGTGAACCATGTGAAGCTAGACATGAACCAGGTTTGGCTGCTGGAAAGGCTTCTGCTTTAACCTATTTGACCCATGCCATCTCTCCAACCCTGATTCCTTTTTTTTTCCCTTCATATTTTTGGGTCACACCCAATGATGCTTGGGGGTGGCTCCTGGCTCTGCACTCAGGAATTACTCCTGGCAGTGCTCAGGGGCCATATGGGATGCCAGGCCTTGAACCCAGGTCAGCTGCATGTAAGGCCAATGCCCTGACTATTGCTCTGGCCCTTTTTGCAATTTTTAGGGGGCAGTGCCCAGGGCCTACTCCTAATTGTTAAGGGGGTCATATGTGGGGCCGAGGATTGAACCAGAGTCAAATGCTTTAATCCCTATATAATTTCTCTAGTCCCTTAATTCTTTTTTAAATCAAATTAAAATCTAATTAAAGATCTAATTAAAATATTTTATCCTAATAAAACTTGAGCTAGTAAAGCCCAAACTATTTTTAATACACGGCTTCATGAACAGGTACCAGGTTGTTAGAGCCTGAGTGTTCCTGGATGTGGCCAAGTGTTTCCTGCTGCTCTCTGAGGGATCTATTTCTTTTACAACTTTTAGCTGGTCTGTTGTTTCTTTTTCTTTTTTTGGGGGGGTGGGGGGAGGAGGTGGCCAACATCCCTCAGTGCTCACTCCTTACTCCTGGCTCTATGCTCGGGGCTCATCGGACTATATGTGGTTCCAGGGACCTAACCGGGATCAGCACATGCATCGCAAGTCCTACCTACTGAACTCTTTCTAGCCTACAACAATTCTGATCATGTAATCTCATCATCCCTGTATAAACTCTCCAATTCATGTGTCATGGTGATTATAGTGAAAAAGAAATTTGCAGATCTTTGATACAACAAATTTTGCAACTAAGTTGCACATCCAGAGGTATGATTTACATTATAATCAAGAAATGGCAGGGGGCTGGAGCAATAACACAGCAGGTAGGGCGTTTGCAATGCACGCAGCTGACCTAGGTTCGATTCCCAGAATCCCATATAGTCCCCCGAGCACCACCAAGAGTAATTCCTGGGTGCATGAACCAGGTGTAACTCCTGTGCATCGCTGGGTGTGACCCAAAAAGAAAAAAAAAAGAAAGAAAGAAATGGCACATCTGAAATTGTGTAGTACATAACCAGCACATCTCTCCTTACATCCCATTTCCTCAATGTGGTGATTCTAAGTGGTCCCCTCACACTTCATTTTGCCTTTGTCAAAGACTCCCAGAAGGAGTAACTCCCTTGAGAACATGCATCCTTAGTCTCTATCTCTGTCCTCTCTTATCTGCCAACGTACCTTGCAGCATACACAGAAAGCCTTGAGGGGGTTCAGTCCCAGCCAGCCACTACTGCCACAATCACGAAAGCGATCCATGAACTGTGTATATAAATCTCGCTGGATCTGAGAGAGCCGTACCAGGATCACGTTTTCTTCTTTGGCAGGGAGATGAATCTTCAGTACAGTATGGCCTCTTCTACAAAGGAGAACAGAAAGGAAGAAATGATGTAAGGATGGAAGGGAGAGAGAGAATGTGAAGACATTTGGGGAAGATAATGTGTGTGCATGAGTGCATCATTGTCCAGAGGGGTCAGCACAGGATAAAAATATAACTCTGGAAAAAAATTTTTTTAAAGGCTCAAAATTTAAGGCCAGAGCAATAGTACAGCAGGTACGGAGCTTGCCTTATATGCAGCCAACCTGAGTTTGATCCCTGGTATCCCGTATGGTCCCCTGAGGAGCACCAGGATAGATTCCTCTGTGCAGAGCTACGAGTAACCCCTGAACATTGATGGGTGTTGACCAACTCCCACCACTCAAAAACAAAACCAAACCATAACGCTGCCTTTGTGAAGATCTGAATGAACATTCACTGCAGCCCTCGACTAATAGAGATTGGTTCTAGCACCACGGAGAATAAGCTCACCTTACCAAACAATGGAGAAAGGAGAGCTTCTACAGTGAAAAGTACTAGGAAAACTATCATACTGGGGAAAAACTGAAGCTAGAGAACTGGAGAGCTAGTACAACAGGTAGGGTACTGCCTTGCATAATTACCAAAGACCTGAAGACACTTTACCACAGAAGAAATAGATTACACAGACAAAATGAAAAACTGTTATATGGGAAATGTGTATCAGAACCCAGTGAGGTTATCACCTTATACTGGTAGGAATGGCTAGTGTCAAAAGATTGGAAACAGCGCTAGAGATAGTACAGCGGGTCACAATGCTTGCCTTGCACATGGTCGAACTGGGTTCAATCCTCAGCACCCCCAATGGTCCCCTGAGCATCAGGAGTGATACCTGATGGTAGTAGTGAAAAGTAAGCCCTGAACATATCCAGGTGTGGCCCCAAAACAAATAAACATAGAAAGAATTAACTTTTGAGAAAAGTACTCCTTGGTCAAATTTTCAAAGAAAAATAAAAGTGAATATTCATCATCTGCTTGCTATTCATCTGAAGGAAAGCTTTTACTATTGCACCACAATGCAACATCTCTCCCTCATAATAGCACTGGTATTCCCATTATACCAGTGCTCTCTAAAGATTCAGAAAATCTGGTCCTGGGGATGGCTCACCTCTGCACAAAGCCCTCCAGAAGGCTATGCAGGACATGGCTCCGGTACCTCATGAGGCGGACATCCTGAGGCGTGCTGTCAATACACTGCCCGTTTAGGATGGGGCGTTCAAACATGTTGCTGAACTCCTGTCGGGTGCCAAGGAAGTCTGGGCGCACAAAGTCCACCATGCACCAGTACTCAATGAGGTTGTTCTGCAAAGGGTACCCCGTCAGCACCACCCGGCGGCGAGAGCGAATGTTCTTCAGGGCCTGCGAGGTACTGGCCTGGCAGTTTTTGATGCGGTGTCCCTCGTCACATATCACCACATCAGGGCCAGGGCGACATAAGGCCTTCTCAAACTCTAGGGAGGGAAGAGGATCCGGAGTCAGAGGGTGAGAGGGCCTGCTCTTAGTCAACAATATGAGAAGTAGGGGTGCACCCTGGAGGAGACAGAAGAAATGAAGGAAGCAGGAAAGCAAGAGTCAGCCCCCATTAGTGAAAGGGAGCCAGCCATCCAAGCTCCCGTGCATATGGTGTGACATACTAACCTGCTGTTGACTCTTGCAGTAAACATCCCTTTTCCCCCTTTTCTTTCTGATTTTTGTTTTTCAGGCAAGAGTAAACTGACTTGGTATTCCCAGGACTATATACATGCTGGGTATCAAATGGGCTACTTATTTTTAATCCTAGCTATTGCTAGGATTAAAAAATTAAAAATATGTCTGAATAAAATTGATAGGAATAAAGCACACCAGTTGGCTCTTACCACTGTTAGCATGTTGGCACCGTCTGAGGGCTGGGCCTCTGGGAGCTAACTAAAGGACAAGGTCTTGCTAGAATTACCACCAGTTATTGCTACATTGCAAATTCATCTCAAGTCTACCACAGAAACAAACCTAAAACAAACAAACTCATAGATTTGGGGTGGGGGGAGGGAGGAGGAGAGGGAGGGAAATCTATAAAATGCAACACCTTTAAATCCTTAAAACCTTTCTTTCCAAGAGCTGGGGATACATCTCAGTGGTAGAGTACTTGCCTTGCCTGTGTGAAACACTGGGTTCAATGCCCAGCATCATAAAAATAAAAAGCTAAAGACAACACTACAACTTACTTCCACTAAAGGCCCTTAGACAAAGTATCAGAAATAAAGCTCTCCAAGGAATAGCTATTCCCTAAGAACAACTGAGATAAATTCTCTTATAAAGTCACAAACAATATTACTAGTCTGCAGATTACTACTCTATTCTGTGATTTAAATACTTTATCAGAACACCTATAGGAAATGGTAAAGGGAAAGTTATTCTCTTGACTGCCCCCTGAAAACACAGGCGCAAACAGGCAGGGAAGTTTGCTGTGACCCATTTGTGCTATGGCCTAACCACAAGCCACTGCCTGCAGAGAAAGCAGCACCTTCTGAGAGCCAGCAGAGGTCATCTCCCCTATTCTGGGATCATGACTTCTAGTTTGCAACAATTTACATCAGCTAATTTGACAAAGTGCTAATGCAGACAATAGCTCTTTTGTTTTGGGGTTTTCGGGGGGGATTACTCCTGGCTCTGCCCTCAGGGATCATACCTGGCTGTGTTCAGGGGACCATACACATGCTGGGGATCAAATGGGCATTGGCTACATATAAGGCAAGCACCCTTACTAACTCTCCAGACCCAGACAATAATTTTTTTTCCCCTAAAATTCACAAAATTATTCCCTGGATAGGCTGCCCACCTCTTCGAAACTCCTGTTGTCGGTCCTCCTCATCCAGGTCAATGATAACCGGGTGAGAACGTTTCTTGGTTTTCTTCGGTCTACCTGTGGCAAAGGATTTCTTCAGGGTGAGGAGTCTGTACATTTCGTACCCCATCAGGAGCACCCCGCCCTCTGATACCCAATCGGACATCACTTTAGCACGAGCTGCCATTGTCCTACAAAAGTAAACAGAGAGAAAGCATTATTGCTTCCATGCTTCCACAGAAAGACTTCCTCATAATGAAAGCTATAATTATATTCAGAACTCCTTACTGTCAAAGACTTCATGTGACTACAGCACAAGACTGGTCAGTTGTTCACGGGTTTTCGCAGCATTATACTGAAACTAATTTACACTGAGGATAGACTGGGTCACTGATAATTATTAAACAGTAAAGTCCAAAAATTCAGTGGTACAATGCAAGTCAAGCAAAAAAAACAGACAAAAAAAATACCCACTTTGGACACATATGTGCATAATTACAATTCTACACTAGAAGTAGAATTCCAATTTATTCAACACACACACACACACACACACACACACACACACACACACACACCCCTCTCTCCAAATTCCTCAATACTGAAATTCTAGTAAGAGCACACCATATTAGATGGGAAAATATAGAAGCCAACTAAACTCAACAAACAAAAATAACACAGATGGCTCAACTAACAACAGTTTAGTAAATCTGTAGACAAAGACTTAAAAACCCACGGTGCGATATAATAATTTTCACATGAAAAATGATTTTTATACTTATAGATTTTAATATTGGTGCTTTGTTACCTAGTAAACTTCAACTCTAAAACTGTATCAACAGCTGTGACTTTTGTCTACATTAAAGGTAAAGGTAAAGGCCCTCCCGTTGATCATCGATTTGCTCGAGCGGGCCCAGTAACGTCTCCATTGGAGACTTTGTTGTTACTGTCTCTGGCATATCGAATACTCTCGGTAGCTTGCCGGGCTCTCCGAGAGGGGCGGAGGAATCGAACTCGGGTCGGCCATGTTGGCCGCTTGTAAGGCGAACGCCCTACCCGCTGTGCTTATACAAACCTAAAAAGGCAGCTTCTGCAGAGAAGAAAGTCTATCTTATAAGGTAGGTAGAGGTGACATAGGGAGAGTGGCGGAAGGTCTTGAGGCACTTTGATGGTGGTGGGATACAGTAACTTTGTTCATTAATACAATAAACACTAACACTATTATATCCATGTTACCCAAACTACAACTGGAGAGAGAGGGAGAGGAAGGGAGAGGAAGGGAGGGAGAGAGGGGGTGAGAGAGAGGGGGTGAGAGAGAAAGGGGGGGAGGGAGGAAGGGAGGGAAAAGAGAGAGAGGGAGAGAGAGGGAGAACATAGTGGGTAAGGAAGCTTGCCTTGCATGTAGCCAACCTAGGTTCCCAGGTTCAGTCCCCAGCATCTCGTAGAGTTCCCTGAATCCCCATAAGATTCATTTCTGAGTGCAGAGCCAGGAGCAAGCACTAAGCAGTACTAAAATGGCCCAAAAATAAAAACAGAAATAAAAACAAAAAGAAAAAAAAGTTTACCTTCTCAAGTAGAGCTGGCTTGTACTATGACTTAGCTTTAGCTATTTGGAAATCAGGTTTAATTTATGAAATTGAATTCTAAGTGTATTCATTTAAATCTATTTTTTAAAAAAAAAAAAGCCAAAAACCTAAGCTTTTACAACTTTCAAATCTTAGAAGTCAAACTATTCAAGGTCAACTGTATGTAAACCCATATTTTTTTAAAAGAGACTGGGCCAGAGAGATAGTACAGCGGGCAGGGTACTTGCTTTACATGCAGCTAACCCAAGTTTGATCCCTGAACCTCCATATGGTCCCCTGAGCCTGCAAGCAATATCCCAGAGTGCAGAGCCAGGAAGCAAACTCTGAGCATCACACAGTGTGGCTCAAAAACAAAACAAAACAAAACAGAACAGAACAACAACAAAAAAAACCCGTGCCTTATCATCTAGATTCCAGGAGGAAAAGGAAAGAGTCTAAGAGGAAAGGGAAAGTCACCTACTTGTGTTCATCATTCAAGATATGAACTTTAAAGAATCGAGGCTGAACTTCTTCAGGCTTATTGTCAGCTGGAAGGGCTTCAGGTGCTGGAATCCACATATTGAACTCTGCCAGCCAATTCTGAAGAGTATTAACCTATGAGAAAACCAAATTCAAAAAGAAAGATTTAAGGAACCAGCTAAGAATTGAGCTCTTTAGTCTTTTCAGCATCTGGTAAAGTATAACCCAGAGCTCTTTCAAGGGTGACCAAATAGTGCCTTCCAGACACTTACCGGCACAATGGCAAGAACAGTTTTGGCTGGTGTGTGGCGGAAGAGAACGTCAATGAAGGAGATCACCTGCAAAGTTTTCCCCAGACCCATGCTATGGGCCAGGATACAGCCAAAACCACTACTGGTCTTAAATCTCTCCAGGGACTCAACCAAGTTATCATATAGGAACCGGATCCCACCAATCTGACAAAAGAGAAACAGACAAATGTCAGGACTGGCAAAAGACCAGGGCTCGGCTTTATTCATTTTTAGAATTAGAAATAATTAACAAGATACAAGCAACTGATGTAGACAGCTACAGAAGTTTTCATTTACCCTGATTACTCTATGTGTTGATGGCAGTCTTTTGGAAAAAATACAGAAAAGTGTTCCCCTGAAACAATGGACGTCTGAGGAAACAATCTATAGGAGTAGTGCTGAGGAGATAACCCAAGTCATAACAATCATGTCAAGCCCGTACAAAGCCATATGTTCAATTCCCAGAGCAATATGTATTCCCAAAATGTGTTGAGGATGGCCTCTAAAAATTTCCAAATTCTATACTGGAGACATAGTCCAGGGGTGTTCATCTTGCATGAGGCTGATTCGGGTTCTAGCCCTGGTACCACAAATAGGTCACCAGAAGTGATCCATGAACAGACAGTCAGGAGTAAGCCCTGAGTACAGGGTGTGCCCCAACACACACACACACACACACACACACACCCCTTCAAATTTTTACAAAGAGGAGGAAAAAGAATCTGCTAGACCAAATTCCTGAGAGGAACCTACACACACACACACACACACACACACACACACACACACACACACACACACACCTACTTTCAAATTTTTACAAAAAGGGAAAAAAAAAAAAGAATCTGCAAGAGCAAATTCCTGAGAGGATCCTTCACCCAGCCAAGGCTTGGCTGCCTTTGTTGTTTACCTTTAAGTTGGCCCATGTCATGAAGAGTAATTCTTATTACTCTTATGAAGAGATCTTAGTTCGGGATCTATTATGGAAGAGTTCTTACTATTAGAGATCTCTGCCTTCACTGAACTTTCACTATTTGCTCCAAATTATGGGTGAACACAAACTACTCTGTTTCCTCCAATCATCAAGTCCCTCGAACCTCTGACTCTGCCATCTCTTCTGGAGCCAAAACACGGTAATTAAAGCACAGCTCCAGCTGTCCAAATACCATCTAATTTATTTTGCAGATCTCACATTAAGAGGTTCAAGATTATTAAGTCAAGACATCCAGTACCTTCTACTTGATAGAGTAAAACTTAAGTCCTTTCACTTCCCATTCAACAGGAATCCTGAAGCAACAATTACCCAAGGTACCAGACATGTTTTTCATAGGTTCTGTTGCTAAAAATGATAAAGAAGCTATATCCCATAATAAGGAAGCTGAAAGGAAAGCAAGAAATGAGTTATATTTGCTTACCTGATGAGGTTTTACTGCCCGGGCTAACTGTGGGGCCAGGAAGACATTCTCTTCCTCTGGAGGGTGGTTCAGATTGACAAGTACCCGCCCCAGAGCATCACGCTGATTTAAGACGTCATTCACATGGGTACCACCTTTTTCCTCTTCCTCATCCTCCTCACTGACAGACTCACTGCTATCTACAATGTGTAGAGTGTCCTCCTCTCCAGAGCTCAGTTCAATCACCTCTGAGACATACAACAAAAGGGGGTGAGGGAAAGCTTCATAGATAATGTACTGTTCATGATTAAATTAAAAAAGCATGAAAAAGAAGAATTTATTATCACTCAATATTTTTTAAATTTATTAGTTCTCTCTTCTAGCTTCAAATTAAAGGTAAGAAAAACTTACATTTAATACAGAAACTCAGGAAATTTTGTCATCATCAGTCCCCAAACTGAATGAGGAAGAACTGAATTCATCTCTATTCAAAGGTACAACTAATCTCTCAGGGCAAACACTAAATCAAGAAAAAGGAGGACTTGTTCTTACCATCTCGACTGCTTTTTTCATCCTCACTGCCACTGCTGCTGTCCAAACAAATGATTTCCTGGGTTAAGACCCGAGGAGGCAGTTGGGGACCATCGCTTGCTCTTAAGACAATTTCCTCTAGGAAAATATGGGGGGAAATGTCAAATTCTATCAAATTCAAATACATTTCAAAAAATGATTCACCATTCTCCTTCTCTGTTGCTTTCATGGGGATCATTCTCTAGGGAGAAAAGTAGAGGCATCTCAGAAACCTTAGTACCCTTTCCAAATTCCTTCTTCTATATTAGTTCTTACTTTCTGGAGTCTAATTGACTTCTAGAAAAGGTCCTAGTCCATTAGCAAATTAAAAATCAAAGATGTAGGGAAAGATGAGGGACTCTAAGTAACATCAACAAAATTCATCTACCTCAACATTTTAAAATGAGATCTTTCTGACTGATTGCATGCTTCCAAGAAGGTACATGGTTCAAAAAACTTCCCAGGAGGCCAAAATCTTACTCCAGACCTATGATCAATTTTGCTGAGGACCTCTTCTCCCTCCAGTACAGGGGATTTCCTGCCACTCCACTCCTTACCAGGAAGAAACTCCAGAGGAACAGTGGGAATGGGGGCTGCATAATCCTTTCTCTGCTGCTCCAGACGTTTCCTTCTTTCCAATTCCTCCTGCTGTGCTGCTTTGGTAACTGGCTCCAATTGATCCTCCCGGAGCAGCTTTCTAAATATTAAAATGAGAACCAGAGACAGAAAGTACAATGAGCTAGAGCACGTTTTACATGTAGGAGGCCCAGATTCAATCCCCAGCTCATCATCCCCTGAAATCTACCAGGAGTGACCTCCAAAAACCAAGCGAGGAGTAGCATTGCTGTAGCCTGAAAACCATAAATATATAAATACATAAATAAATAGTACACTGTGGTTCACCTTAAATGTGGGCAATGTAATGCCAAGTTAAAAAGGGAAAAGACCACTGAGCATTTCTGAGCACTGAGGCATGCAACAACAGGTAGTTTAAGGCTAACATAATTTTATTTTAATGTCCTGACTTACTATTAGCTTGTCAGCTCATTTCTGCACATAACAGAGTCAAATACGGTAGTATTCCATAAACTGAAAGCAGTATTAATATTGTCTTTACAAGGGAAAGTAGGATTATAGATTGATTCCACATCCTTATTTTCCAAACTGCTTCAATTAGTTATTATGTCTTTATTTAAAAAATAAAATTAAGCTGAAGGCAGAAAAAAATAAAACTTAACTTCCTTCAATGTAGATAGAAGAACTACAATGTAGGTAGAAGGAAGAACTGTTTGAGATTTGGTAAAGGAAGTTTGCATCTGCTGAAGAGAATAATCCCCCACAAACTAAAATTGTGTTCTAATAATATGAGATTTCAACTTCTTTAATTTCCTCTTTGAAATAAAAAGAAAAATAAGGGAGAAAACAGCCTAAAGAGAGTACCCTGGCACCCTTGGGACAATTCTCAGGGTTTCATAAACTGGGATATTCCCAGCAGTGGACAAGTGTCATTCCCAATCTCTCTGCATCACCTGCCAATCCAGGAATTCTAAGCTACATTTTCACTATTAGTGGGGATACACATCTTAAACTTTACCCTTTGGGTAAAAGGACTCTCCTGCTCAAAAGGACTCTGGTGCTCAAATAAATCTTGGTGCTAATTAAAGTCTTAAAATTAAAGCATTCTTTTACTTACACCTCTGTGTGTTATATTTGGGCCACTCCCAGCAATGCTCAGGGGTTACTGTTGGCTCTGCACTCAGGAATTACTCCTGGTGGTGCTCGGAGGACCACATGGAATACTTTAGATCGAACCCAGGTCAGCCATGTGTAAGGCAAGAGCCTTACCTGCTGTGCCATCTCTCCGGCTCCACCTTTATGCACTCCTCTTAACAACAACTCACCGTATGTTTCTCCTCATATGGGAAGGCTTCTGAGCTCTCTTCTTTTTGGAGTCCTCAGAGGTTAAATTCTTGGCTTGGGGGCGCCTAAGCTGCTCTGAAGGCTCAGACTGAGATGAGGTAGTTGAAGTGCACCGTGGTGGCTGCTGCCCATCTTCCCCCAGCGGGGCACAGTCAGTGCCACACATGTCTTCCAGGGATTGATCTGGAAAAACAAGGGGAAAGATGTGCCAGGGACCTCAGTGTAGGTCACTTCACTAGGAGGAAAACGGGTTATGTCAGGCACACTTTAATTCAAATCTCAATCAGCAACATATTATTATTACCCCCCCCTCTCTCTCTCTCTCCGGATTTATCTATACAATGAGAATAGTGATGCATATACGTTAGCGCTATTGTAAAGAATAAATATGGCATACTTAGAACCAACCTAGGCCCTGAGTTGTTCTAATTATAATTAGAATGAGGAAGTTTGCTCAGAAAGAGAAGGATGGATTATCAATACGGTTCACTGTGGTGAGTGCCTAACAGCAGCAACACCTGAGAAACGAATACCTAATTCAGACTTGGCTAGAGTTGGGCACTTCCCCAGGAAAGGTGAGACCTAGGTTTAATCTAAGAGAATGAAGTAGGCACTAACAAAGAAGGAAAGAACATCTAAGTCAAGATAGAGAAGCATTTAAAAAAAATAGACAGAAGCATACAGAAAAGGAACAGAAACAGTTAAACAAGATCTCAACTGGGATAAGCATTACAATTCAGTGTTGACTAAAATTAATTAAGCAAAGCAGGAGCAAACAAGGACTTGCCCATCTCTCCCCAGGAACTCCTCACAAATGCAGATTTGGGGGTTGCCAACCCAGATCTTTCATGGATGCTGGCTCAGAAGCCAATCTCTATTTCAGGAAGGGCTACTCCAAGACCGTTTCCTTCCTATAACACTCTACATTCTACTGGCTGGAGTTTGGGGTGGGAAGGGAAAACTAACGTGATCACTATAAAGTGGCTTAATGACCCAGAGTCACAAAAAAATCTCATGAGAGCCAGAAGCTGCAGAGATGCCACCTGACCCCAAAGTCACCATCCACTTAAAAATTAACTCCAGCTGTATCACCCTATTTAAAATTTTAGAATTCATATTCTACAACACCGAAGTACCAAGAGTAGTATACCGCATTTGATGGAGCGCAAAGTAAAAGACAACCAATCTCATCCTGATATTAGCACACAAAAGCTCAACCTTTAACAACATGTTAGTAATCTCTTATACAAGGGCTTAAAGGCTCCAGAGATACAACAATCCTCATACACTTTCCTCTTTTTGGATCGTTTTTAGTTATTATTATTATTATTTTTTGGTCACACCTGGAAATGCTCAGGGGTTACTCCTGGAGGTGCTCGGGGGACCAAACTACATGCTGGGAATTGAACCCGGGTAGACCGCATCCAAGGCAAATGCCCTACCCGCTGAACTATCACTCCAGCCCCTAGTTGATTATTCTTAACAAGCAGTACAAAATAAAATATTTAGGACCTGCTTTGGAGGCAGGTTGGGTGGGTGGGAAAATTCGAAATGTGGAGATGGGAAGGTGGAATGGTGGTGGGATTGGTGTTGTAATATAGAACGTAGTAAATTATTGTAAATAACTTTAAAAAATTAAATTAAAAAAATAAAATTTTAAAAGTCGCATAAAGAGGGGCTGGAGCAATAGCATAGTGGGTAGGGCGTTGCCTTGCACGAGGCCGACCTGAGTTCAATACCCAGCATCCCATATGGTCCCCTGAGCACCGCCAGGAGTAATACCTGAGTGCAGAGCCAAGAATAACCCCTGTGCATTGCCGGGTGTGACCCAAAAAGCAAAAAAAAAAAAAAAAAAAAAGTCGCATAAAGAGGAATGATTGTGAACTGATGTGCACATTTCATTTACACCCACATGCGTAAGTACAGGTGATTCACTCACTTGAAGCAGCAACAGGACCTCTTTGTTTTTTTTGTTTCTTGAAATTTTTTATTAGTGAATCACCGTGAGGTACAGTGACAGACTTACAAACTTTCGTGCTTGCATTTCAGTCACACAATGATCGAGTACCCATCCCTCCACTAGTGCCCTTTTTCTACCACCAATGGTCACAGCATCCCTCCCACCACGTCCACCCCGTCCCCTCCACCTCACCCCACCTCTGTGGCAGGGCATTCCCTTTTGAGCTCTCTCTCCTTTTGGTTGTTGTGGTTTGCAATAGAGTCATTAAGTGGCCATCATGTTCGGTCCATAGTCTACTTTCAGCACACATCTCCCACCCGGAGCAGACCCTCCCAGCACCCTTTACTTGGTGGTCCCTTCTCTATCTGAAGCTGCCCTCTCCCCCAGCATGTGAGGCCAGCTTCTAAGCTGTGGAATAATTCTCCTGGTACTTATTTCTACTATTCTTGGGTGTTAGTCTCCCATTCTATTACTTTATATTCCACAAATGAGTGCAATCTTTCTATGTCTATCCCTCTCTTTCTGACTCATTTCACTTAACATGATACTTTCCATGTCGATCCACCTATATGCAAATTTCATGACTTCATATTTTGTAACAGCTGCACAGTATTCCATTGTGTAGATGTACCAAAGTTTCTTTAGCCAGTCATCTGTTCTCGGGCACTCAGCTTTTTTCTAGATTCTGGCTATTGTAAGCAGTGCTGCAATGAACATACAAGTGCATATGTCATTTCTACTATATTTTTTTGCATCTCCAGGATATATTCCTAGAAGTGGTATTCCTGGGTCAAATGGGAGCTCAATTTCCAATGTTTTGAGAAGCGTCCATACTGTTTTCCAAAAGGACTAAACCAGTCGGCATTCCCACCAGCAGTGAAAGAGAGTTCCTTTCTCCCCACATCCACGTCAACACCAGTTGCTTTTATTCTTTTGGATGTGGGCCAGTCTCTGTGGTATGAGATGATATATCATTGTTGTTTTGACCTGCATCTCTCTGATTAGTGATGAGGAGCATTTTTCCATGTGTCTTTTGGCCATTCGGATTTCTTCATTGAGAAAGTTTCTCTTCATTTCATCGCCCCATTTTCTGATGGGGTTGGATGTTTTCTTCTTGTGGATTTCAATCAGTACCTTGTAAATCCTTGATATCAACCCCTTATCCGATGGGTATTGGGTGAATATCCTTTACCATTCTGTAGACTGTCTTTGTATTCTGGTCACTGTATGTTTGAGGTGCAGAAGCTTCTAAGTCTAAGATAGTCCCAATTTCTTATATCTGCTTCCACTTGCTTGGTCAATGGTGTGTCACCTTTAAAGATACCTTTAGCTTCAATGTCGTGGAGGGTTTTGTCTTCAATGTACCTGATGGATTCTGGTCAGCAACAGGACCTCTTTGGCACTCACACTGAGAGCAATACTAAAGGTTTCAGCAAAATTCCTGGTACTAATCTCTGCCACTCTTGGGTGTTAGTCTCCTATTTTGTTACTTTATGTTCCCCAGATGAATGCAATCTTTCTATGTCTATCCCTCTCTTTCTGTCTCATTTCGCTTAATATGATACTTTCCATGTAGTACCACTTGTATGTAAATTTCATGACTTCACCTTTTCTAACAGCTACATAGTACTCCATTGTGTAAATGTACCAAAGTTTCCTTAACCAGTCATCTGTTCTGGGCACTCAGGTTTTTTCCAGATTCTGGCTATTGTAAAGAGTGCTGCAATGAACAAACAAGTGCAGATGTCACTTCGACTATACCTTTTTGCCTCTCTGGGATATATTCCCAGGACTGGTATTGCTGGGTTAAATGAGAGCTCAATTTCTAATTTTTTGAGAATTGTCCATACTGTTTGCTCCATGACTTGGAGGACTGCCACAACATGCTAGGGGAAAAGGGAGCTCAGATAGAGAAGGGAGCACCAAATAAAGGGTGTTGGGAGGACCTCCCAGGATGGGAGAAGCATGCTGAAAGTAGACTATAGACCAAACATGATTGACACTCAATGCCTCATTTGCAAACCACAACACCCAAAAGAAGAGAACAAAAGGGAATGCCCTGCCACAGAGGCAGGGTGGGATGAGGGGGGATGGAGGGGTGGGAGGAATACTGGGACCCGTGGTGGTGGAAAATGGGCACTGGTGGAGGGATGGGTACTTGATCATTGTATAACTGAAACCCAAGCACAAAAATTTGTAAGTCTACAACTGTACTTCATGGTGTTTCACCAATAAAAATTTTTAAAAAATAAAGGTTTCAGATACATAATTTCTGCTATGAGAAGAACAAAGGGAGGGCTGGAGCAATAGTACAGTGAGTAGGGAGCTTGCCTTGTACATGGTTAACCTAGGTTTGATTCTGGCACCTCACATGATCCTGGAGACTGCTAGGGGTAATCCCTGAGTGCAGAGTCAGGAATAGGTTCTCAGCACCATGGGGTGTGGCCACAAAACAAAAGAACAAAAGAGGGGAAAAAACTAAACAAAAAAACAAGGTAAGCACCAGATAAGGAATGTTCATGAAGGGGAGCTCCTTTACCATTAATACAAAAGCAAGGCTGAAACATCAGTGTCCCCTCTCAATAACCACTAGATTCACAAAGCAGGCTCTTTACAGAAGGCTTCTCAAAGACACCAGGAAAGGAACCCTAGGGCTCACAAAGGCAAGGCTATATTCCTAGCATTCAACTTGGTGTTTTTTTGTTTTGGCTTGGTACTGACAATGACCTTTGAAGCTCCCCGTGGCTTAAAGGCCCTTTGTTTTGTTTCTATTTCACAAGGGAATTTATTGAGTAACCATTTGGAGAAACAGTTGAAGGCAAGGTTAGGGAGTAGGCAAGTAGGACAGAACAGTACAGAGGAAAGGTCCTGACTGTCAGGCCAAGGGGGCTTGAACTTAATTCTATTAGGTACTGGAAACTGGTTTGCCAACTTTGTTTCTGCCAGAAAGAGCTGTTCCTGGGATGAGGGAAGAAAAGAAACTATTGGTATTTCTGTATCACACAAATTCACCATCAAGAATTCTAACTTAAAAGGCCAGAGAAATAGCTCCAGGGTCTGAGCTCAAAATTTGCATTTGGGGGTCAAGATTCAATACCAGGCACCGGTAGCAAATCACCCTCCTCCATGCCACAGAGCTGGGAATAGCCCCCAAATAAACCAAACCAAATGAAAACAACATTCCAACTTGAAGTCAGGAGACATAGCTTAATGAGCTGCAGCA